AACAGCTTCTGCAACACAAATCAAATTTATAAAGCATGAATAAATAGGATTGAAAAATGATGTGGGGAATGGAATGGATAATAAAAATAAATGAGATTGAGCATTTGCCCTGATTATATTCAATATCTGTACATTTCAGAGAATTATCAACACAAGAGTTTAATTTCTATGCAATGTTATAACAAAATTAATATGCCGATACTTAACAAGTGATGAAAATAGATACTTATAAATGAATATATGAATGACAATACAACAAAATATGAATGAAATGAATACAGTAACAGAAATATACTATTAATAATGATAACAAATAGATGCAAAGAATAACAAAAAATAATCATAAATAATAATAATATGGCACTTATAAAACAAATATAAAAACTTAATGAATAAAAAAAAATGGAGAACGGGGAAAAAATATATAACTACAATTTTAAATAACAAACATACTTTCGTAGTTTTAGCAATTTAATAAATTGATGTTTAAATGATGTGAGGTTAACTGAAAATATATATTAATTAACAAGATAATTTTTGAGCCCTTATTGATAAAAATTAAAAAAAAAATTTTTTTCACAGATGAAGGACATAGTATAAATACTTTAAATTTAAAATTTTATTTAAAAAAATAAACATTAAAAATTCACATTACTAAAATAGAAATGTAGAATTTTTCTTGAATTGGTTAGACTAAGAAACCTTTGTAGAAACTGCTCAGAGTCTCTGCATCTAACGTACTTGAAGATTTATTATGCAACAGACAGTAACAGCACATGATTCGGTTAAAGCAAAAACTTAAAAGAAGGAAATTTTTAAAAAAATTCCATGTAAATATGACATGGTGTGATCAACAAGATATAACAGCTTTCAAAAACTATGACAGCTAAACTTGGTCTTTTAATGAATTGCTTACGCTCTTAAACAGTTAACTGTTAGCTAATATGTTAGCATTTATGTTATTTCGAGAAGCAAATTTTGCAAAAGAACTAAATATAATATTATATCTTTATATTCATAGAGGTGTCTTTGGTGTAATTGCCATGTTTTTCGGCTGGAAAAATATGTAGCTGATACAGTTAACATAATTTTGATGTGGGGTAAGATAGTGGAAGTTTGGGAGAAACAATGCTAAGTACAGTAATCTTCTCCGATTCTCTTCTCTTAAGCTAACCCAATTAGGACTATTTTGAAGCTGCTTGTAAAAACGCTGTAACTACGTTAGATTCAGGTACTCTAGAATTGACACATTTAATAATGCACTTTTTTTGCTTAAGAGTAAAAAACGTAATTTCTTTAGAAAATCAAATTTTTTTATGTGTTTAATAAAGATTAACCTTAGTTAAGTAACTATAGTAGATACAGGCAATCTAGAATCGACACGTAAAAAATAACATATTTAACATACATAATATATTTAATATACGCAATAAAATATACGTAATAAAAAATATTTTTCAATATTACAGAATTGTTATCTGACTTTAACTGTTATAGACAGAGAGTAACTATAATTGGGAGTTACCACTACTTTTAAAGATGTGGATGAAGCTCTTGCAAAAAAGCCATTTGATTTATATGATCCTCATACATAATCTTTATTTTTTTCAATCACATCAGGATCAATTAATGCATACAAGAGCAGATATATAAAGCAAAAATAACTCTAACCAATAGAATTGTTTATATTATTAACAATTTAATTTATAATTAAAACTAATTAATGTTTTACAAAACTTTTGTATAACTTTAGTGTTATAAAAGCACAAAGTTTGTATTCAAAACACATATATCAAAGTGCAGGTTTAAGGACTTAAATATGTAGTGGAGATAATGCAACATTGAAATGGTATCTAAGGACTTTTTACTCTGATAAAAGTGTTGTAGTACTTTATTCTATCAAAGGATAAAATATTTCAGAAGTTTATAGTAAAAATTAGAAGTTTTATAACATTATGAATCATAAACTTTAGGAGAAAAATAATATACATTTATGAGAATACAAGTAATATATACAAAATATACAATATATTTTAATGTGCCTAATTCTGAAAAACACCAAACACAACACCAAAACATATCACAGATAACATTTATGATGAACAGACTCTCATTAGACAAAATTATATAATTACAAAGACATCACAGCAAATAGTTTTAATTTAATGTATAAGCTCTTAGTAAATAATCAAGGAACATTGATCTGTTTAATGATTATTTTCCTATTAACAGACAATTTTTTTTAAATTTGGAAGTATATACTTTTGTTCTAAAAAACTAAGAATCAAGGAAGAATGATTTGTTTAATGAATTTTTTTTCCTTCTAACAGGTATTTTATATGAATTTGGAACTTCATACTTTTTCTCTAAAAATAAAAGTTCAAAAAACAATGTTTTGTTTCATGTTTATTTTTTATGGTATTTCACATGAATTTAGAAGTTCATATTTTTGTCATGAAAGATTAAAGAACAACTAATCAGAGAACAATGAATTTTCCAATTCACATTTTTTTCCACTAGCATGTATTTTACATGAATCTAAAAGTTTATGCTATTGTTTTAAAAAACTGAAGTGCAATTAATCAAGGAACAAAAATTTGTTGACTGATTAACTTTTCTACCAACAGGTATTTTATGTAAATCTGGAAGTAGTACTTTAGTTTTGAAAAAACTAAAGTGCAGTAATCAAGAAACAATGATTCGTTTAATGATTATTATATATATANCTACCATAAAAGACTAAAGTTTTTGTTGTAAAGTAGTTTGTTCATTGAATATTTTTTTACTAACCTGTAATTTACATAAATCTGGAAGTTCATACTTTTGTTCTAAAAAACTAAAATACAATATGATAGTTAAAATAGAAAAGGGCATAATTTTAAAAATATTACTGTGATAAATAAATTCTAACTAATTCTTAAATATATATATATATATAAATTTCTTTTAGAAAAATATAAACATTTAAAAGCATTTTAATTTCAAACAAACACTTTAAAATGCTTTAAAAACTGGTAACAGCTTTCTGATAAGGGTGCCGGAAGTGTTCACATTAATCTTATACTTGTAAAATATCAATCTGAAAGTTTTTTGAGATAGATATATTTCTTTAAAACATTTAAGTTCTAAATTTAGCATGCAGTTTTTAAAAGTGAGGGAATTCAACAGACATATATTTCAGAGATATAATATAAATTTATAATACATTATATATGCATATATATTCCATAAAAATAAAAATTTTATTTAAAATTGATATTCTTATGATAAAAATATATTCTAATTTCAATAAAACTTTTCTTTATCAAATACATTTTAAAAGTGGGCTAAGTATAAATATAAATAAAGAAATATAAATTGCATTTACTTTCAGTAATAAGAAATTATTATAGAAAGCACTTGAATGTTTATTTTCCCCTCCCTAAAATAATTCCTTAAATGTTATTATGCATGTTATTTATATTTTCTAGTTACTAAGAATCAAAAACCAATTATTTATATTAAAAAAAGTATTCTTTTAAAAATCCTAACTAACATATAATATAGTTTAAATAGAAAATCATATATGATTTGTCAGTATATTTATAAATTTTTAAATGCTTATAAATTTTATTGATTTTGAATATTTGTAATTGATAATTTTGCTCATAATTATTTTCTTCATTCCAAAACAATATTAACTAATTATTTCAGTCATGCAAATCTTAGTGTTGGACTGAAAAAAATTATGCTAAATGATTTATTTACACCAATCTTAGACATACAGTTGACTTAATGTGCAAACATTTCCCAAAAAAATTAGAATTTACTTTTTGAAGTTTATAATTAAAAAAGTTGTAATACCAATTATTGAAACTTATAACATTTCAAATAATTAGCAAGTATATAAAACATGAAAGAAAGCAATGAAACTTATTTCCATGATAAAAATCTATTAAAAAAAATTAAACAAAAGTATTGAGCAACAAAAAATATTATACACTACAATATTTTCTAAATGCATGCAACAGAAACAAACAACATAGAATTAGACAATGATTTTTACACTAGGGTGAGTTTGCATAAACAAGATAATTAGGATGAATTTTTTTTTTACAAAAATAACAGATGATATAATATTACAGTCGACCCCAATTAATGGCATAACGAATAATAGAATATTAAAATAAAACAAATAAAATTTAGTGCATTTAAATTACTTTGCATAAAACAACTATGAATTTCCTGATTGACACTTATTTTTGTTATCCATCAGCCTCTAATGATAATAAAAAGAAATAATGAAATTAAAATTCTTGTTTGTCAAAAGTATTTTATCACTAACCAAAATGGAATTCTCTTTTGCAATGAAAATAATAATAAAATTCTATAAAAATAATAACAATGCAAATAATCCATGAAAATAATAAGAAACTTAGTTGTAATTTGAATAGAGGCTCTCTATATTCATGAATTGCCTCAACCTGGTGTCAACAGGCTCTTTCACATTTACCAAGAAATAATGAAGTATATTACATAACAATTTGGCCAAACATCATCGACTTGAGTATTTAGGAAGAAATTATAAGAATCAATATAATCGGGAAAAGGGGTCAAGGAGTGTTCAAGCAAAAGTGAGTATTTTGGAAAAAAATAAGATAATTCGCACAAATTAATTTCAGTATTATTTCTTTATAATATATTATCTCATCAGTCTATCATATTCATCTTATTAAATTTTAAACAGTTTTACATTTAAAGATTCAATATGGCGATTCATCATATATTTGCAAAGTTTTAAAAAATAAAACTTAGCTTATAAAAATTCAAGCAGTTCTAACAATTGCGTTAAATTAACTCTTGGTATCATTTTCACTAACTACAATTTGTAGTAATTTTCAAAGATTTAAAATTTTTTAAAAACTAAAATCTGAACGCTACGAATGTCACAAAAATTTTACATTTATAGCAGCTAATTTTTAAAACATCTTGCATTTTTAAAATGTAAAGAAAATTGGAGTATGTATAAATAAATAACACTAAAAATTGCTTTAACAAAAATTATAAGAACTCCTTGATTTTTTTTAAAAACTCAATTGCATGCATTTGAAGGTCTGCAAGTATGACATTCGTAAATGATGGAATTGCTTGAAAGTAATAGTCCTAATTATAATTTTTAATTATTAGAAACCAATATACAATTGAAGTCACATTTGCTATAAATTGGGAACATTATAAAGTGTACCATTTGATATTAAAAATTTGTAGTGTTAAAATATTTAACTAAGATACTCTTAGGATAGTAGAATTACCTGCTCATTTTATTACCGTGGAATAGGGCTTTAAGTGGGGCAGACTGTATGATATTAACAAAAACTAACATTTACAAAGTATCACTTAATTGGAAGTTATGGCAATGGCCAAGGTAAGCCACTAAAATCAACTGGACCTCCTAACCCAGCATCAGCTTCCAAAAGACTCATTATTACGGCCATGGCAGCTTCATCATTACCTTCACTGGTATTGCTTTGATAGGAGGCCTGTAACATATCACGACCAATGACAGCATCCATGCCAGAAAGAGAAACAGGTTCCGACATAGGAACTTGATTGTGAACTGGAGGTATGTACTGGGACGAAGTACTGGTTGAAGAAGGAGAACTCATTAACAAATCTCCATCAAAGGCTGAAGAAAGATCCCTTTTCATAAACATATTCCGTGGAGAATAGCTCTTATCTCGTTCTGAATCTATCATAAATGGATGGGCTACAAAAGGTTCAGCATTAAAATACGAATTTATACTACTTGTTTGAGGTGTTTCGTTGCTTTTTTGTCTCTCTAGTACTTCTTCAGCAATTTGACGGCCAATTTTGCCAGCTCCAACTTTTGTGCCTAAAATTCTAGAAGTATCTCCAATGTTTCCTCCTGATGGTAAATATGATAGAACGGCATCTAAACTGTTAGAGTTGCTGTTCATTATGTCATCACGAGCACTGTTTGAACTTTCAACAAGGCCTGTCTCAAGAACAGGCACTAGAGTGTTTACAGATATTATATATTCTAATTCTTTAGTCCATGGATTTCGAAATATCTTCCATTTACTGGTAAGGAAAGCAAAATTTCCTTCTTTTCGACGAAATCTGTAGACTTTGGAGGCCAAACTCTCTTGACATTGCAGAACTTGCCTATGGAAATCAGCTAGGTGCATGATATCGTCTTGATGGAAATATTCATAACAAGATGTACCTTGCAGTTCTTGAGGTAAATAACCAAGAATTAAAAATACTCTTTGATCAACAAAGAGAAATTTTCCATCCACAGCATGACGTGACGTGAATTCCATAGATCTTACTTCAATTCCATCTTTTGGAATAGGATTGGATAAACAATGCTGAACTTGTCCAATAGCAACCAAACAACTTAAATTACAGTCACTGTCAACATCATTATCTAAATCTAGGCTGAGGTTGGCTGGTGCCCATGATTTCAAATAACCTGTACACCGTATCACACAGTATTTACGATCAGAATGATGAGATTTACGCTTCCTGTTAAGCCCTGTTGTAGTATCTGCCTCTTCCTTCACAGATGATGAAACTTTGCATTTCATTCGACAAAAAAAGGAACGCCTGGCACCAGGACAAAGGCGCACTTGAGTTTGAGGAATATCAGTTTTTACAGGCATCATGGTTTTTGCATCAATCAACCTTTCTTTGGGAACAAGGTCAGAAGATGACAATTGTTCTTTTACTTTCGCAACATCTTTTGGGTGCAAAATATCAAACCAGCTTTGCCCTAAAAGATCATTCTGAGAATAATGCAAAACTTGAGACACAGATTCAGAGACAAAAAGCATACGACCGCGGTCACAGCTAACAACGAAAAGGAAGCCTTCTGCAGCTCTCAAGATTAAATGCTTTAGTTCTTCATCTGATAAGAAAGAGGGCTTATACAAACCTTCAGCATAGGAATTGATTGATCCCCTCAGAGTTTTCATATGTTGTACAGCCATGCGTAAAACTGTGAGTTTATCCAATTTCCTAGACATGGCATTACACATTGGTACTATTGATGACAATTCAGTTATATAAGTATTCATTTTATCACGTCTCCTTTTTTCTATTTCACTGTGATTTTGTTTCTTAGTTTGATCTTCAGGATCATGTCGTTGTGACTTGGAATCTGAATCCAATTCAGAACCTTCAATAACATCAGTCATTTTTCTCTTACGAGAAGAACCTCGAGTAGATTCAATATGTGAATCCATCCTTAGTGCAAGTGACACTAAAAAATAATTATATATTTTGGCAAATTATGTTAATTTATGTGGACAAAATAATTTTAATCAAGCCAATTGGAAATAAAATAAATATATATATTACAATAAACAAATACACTTTGAATGAATAATAAACATTGTACACTAAAATTATTTTAGAAAAGTTTATAATTTAAATGCAAAGTATATGGTGCCATATTAAAAATATACAAAAGAAGAAACTTATTATCTCATTAAAAAAATATTCGTTAGAATCAACGACAAAAAAAATTAAACCAAAGAATTGTTAAACAAAGAATACTTGGTACAAACTAACATTTTAGTTTCAGAGTATCAAAGAAAATTTAATCATGTTGCAGTGGAATTTTTACAAAAAAAATAATAACAGTAAATGTTAGATTTATTTACTTTGAATCTCATAGTCTACTTTTTATTAATAGGAATTATAGGATTGGTTATATTTTTCAGGATTATATCAAGATTGCATCCAGGTTTTGGCTAATAAAATGAATTGTTGGTTGACTTTCGTTATTTAGTTCCAAGAAGGACATCTTTGAGATTCATCTTACTCAATTTAATTTTAGAACTACTCAGATTCATTTTCCCAAGATAGTGCCGACAATAAATTTGATATACAATTTTAACCTTTTAAAAAGAAGATTGCGATTTAGAAAGTACAAAAAAATATAATTGTACTAAAGTAGAAAATTTTTTTAATGAAAATCTCACAATTTGAGGTTTTGTGTTACATAAATCATTAAACTTATCAACTAATAAAGGCAATATATATCTGGATGAAGTCAACATTAATTGACAGAACTCTACTGAACATTTTACCTGCTTAAGTTTCAAAAATAGAACATGGTCTTTGAGCTGGAATTAAATAAACAATCATAGAGGTAAATAATACTTACATTAAAAATTCACAGAATGAAGTACTTTTGAATTAGTTTGTTTCCCTTTGCATTATTATTCAATTTTTTATGAATTTTAGAAATTTGATAAATTTGTAAATTCTCCCTCATTTGTAATTTAATTTATCAAAATCCCATTTTTTTATAATTCGACTACAATGCTTCCAAGCACTTAAAAGAAAAATATATCCTTCTAATAGGCATCAAATTTTAAAATTTTATTTCCCAATTTTGAAGTTAATTATTAGCTATAAACCAAATGTTCTATAGAGCATTAGAGTTTTAAAAGATTAAAAGGTTTTAAAGAATTTTAGATTTTATGTAATTCATAGAGTGTGGTTATATTTTCCATGATGTGTGCATTTCATTCAATTTGTAATATGACACTTATTCAAAAAAAATAATAACGTTCAAATAGAAAAAGTGGTGACACCATTTATGTGATACCATTTATAACTCTGTTCAAAAAAGGTAGAATTTAGCGATAAAAAAAATCGAATGCACAATATCTGATTTGAGGCAAAAATTTTTTAATTCTTTATTCGTTATCCCTCCCCTCTTCAAAAGTTATTTTGTCTCGCTCTGTTACAAAAATCACTCTTCTAGCTAACTGACGCACTGTCTATCTCAAAAAAGTTATCTTTTATATTCTCCTTTCTGGCTTTTGCATCATTAAAATACTTACCCAATGTGCTTTAAAATTATTTTTAAATACAAATTCTTGAATATACAAAAACTTGTACTAAAGTATTTTGTATTTGTTCTTCATTTACGTCGCACTAGAGCTGCACAATGGGCTATTGGCGACGGTCTTTAGCTTGGCTATTGTAGTTAGTGTGACAGGTTAATATATGGAAATATCCCCTAAAATTAGTGAAACAGAAAAATTTACATTATAAATCTAGCTAAAATTCTTTTCCACTCCGGAAAATTAGTTTATCATCACCTGNAGTGATGCTTGACTTCGGTGATGTGCTGGGAACCGTGTCTTAACGATCAGTCCACTGCGGGACTATTTTTGTATTTAATAAAGAAAATTGAAATTATTAAGATCTTCATAAATACTAACAAACAAATTTATCAATTTTGATTCACTTCAGAGAATGTAATCTCTTAATAAATAATTTTTATTGCAGCCCATAAACTGCTACTAGCTTCTTGCACATTGCATTTCTTTATTTCGATTTTTAATATTTATCTCAGTAAAGTCAATGAAGTCTATGGAGAATGTGGTTTATAGAATTATGTTACATCAATACTACACTGTATTATAATTTTATTTTGATAAAACAGAACCAGTGTTTTAATGGAAAATGATAGGAGGATACAAAGTAAAAATATAATTTTAACATTCAAACTAAAAAAAATTAGATTATTATGATTGTGTATAAATAAAATAATGTGTAATATTATTATTTCATTGCGTCAGTAACATAATTTTTTTTTTTTTAAATAACTCAGTTCACAGTTATAAGAAAAGAAAAAATAGCTTTTATCTCAATTTTAAATACAAAAAAAAAGATACTGCTTAAATTCAAATACTGCTTACTATTTATTACATAACTAACTTAACATCTGGGCTTTTATCAAAAATTCAAACATTATTTTCTAATTAAAATATAGCTGTTGTATACAATGTAAGACAAATCTACTAATTCTTCAAAATTTAAACATTTAAATCAGATTAAAATATAGTTTCAAAAGAAAGTTTCCATGAAAATAAAGATTTACCACATTCATTATTTCAAATCAATTTTGGTGAAAAAAATTAATTTCTTAATAAAAACGTTTAAACAATAACTTACCGTTCTGTTACTAGTCTTGATATGTGAAGAAGATTAAGAAGTAAATCAGCTTACTTACTGCCACTTAGAAAAATCTAAAACATAAAATTTTCAATAAAATGAAATATTCACAGAATAAAACAAAAATAAATAAAATCAACAATGTAATATAGAAAAGAGGTTCTTAAATTATGTCCCAAGGAATCCCTTTGGAGTAGACTTAATAAGTAATCAGGTGTGACTACTAAAACATTCCAATATGTGTTTCTGTTATGCACAACATATTTTTATAAGCAATTATAAAATATGAAATCTAAATATAGAAACAAAAAGTAAACCTCAAATAAAACTTTACAACATAGAGACTCATATTGTGGCTCTGGTTTTAAAACAATTACAACAAATAAAAAAAATGTAAAACAATTAATAAAATCTAATTTAAAACTTAAATTTTTTACAACCAATTTTTTATTTGTTTCAAATTTTTTAATCTTTGAACTTTCCTTCTTGCATGAAACTATTAATTAACTACGTAGCAATTAGGATTCTATTATAGCATATAAGAATTTTGAATTACACATACATTATTGTATTGAATTAATCAACACATTTAAAAATAATAATATTCAGCAAAGATTTATGGTTTTGCCGATATAGCGTAAAAGTTATTATTGACTATATAGATCATCATTTATCACAAATTTTAAGGTTTTTAATTTCGTATAAATTTTTGTCTATCATGCTTTTTTTTATCAGAGCCATGGATATAAAACACTAAATGTTTATTAAGTATTTTATTTTTGATACTTTTTCTCAAGTATATGAATCCAACATATAAGCTAGCGAAAGGCATAAAATATAAATATTCAATTATCCTGGTCTTACTTTTAGCATCTATGCCCAGACTTAATAAATTCAGACAATGGAATTGACAGTATTGCATTTTATAAAACATTATTAAGGCTTCCAACAGGGTGAAAATTAGTAATTTCGATAAAAAATTTATTTTATTTTTTCTTCTTTTCTTTAGATTTAAACTTTAGTGCATAAGTTTTCCAAAACCCTTTAAAATTTTTATCACTGATTTTTTGAAATGAAGTTACGGTTATTTTTTCATATGCAACAAACAAAACTGAAGCTCTTGAAGACAAAAACAAAAAAATTGCTTGCTTTGAAAATTCAAGCCCCATATTTGCCTGAATAAATAACATTTTTAAGACAAGTAAATTCAATTTTCAGAAATTAATTTTTAAACATTTGATTTTTTTGTTGTTAGAATTTCTTTGCATTTTCTGAAGAACTGAAGATTAGGAGAAATTTCTATGTGCTAACACAAATTACAAAAAAAAAGATTATTACAAAATTTTTTGAAATTTTTAAAGTAAATTTTTTTTAATGTCAGCGTTCTTTTTAATTTAAAGTTAAGGTCTAAGTTTGAATTTGCAATATTTTTTTCAAAAAAAGTTTTAAGAAAGAATATGTAAAAAATTTTCCTTACAAATCTGATATTAAATAATTTTACTATTCGATTGTATTAATATTTAGTACTATTAGCTGCCATGGCTATAATAACGAGTCTTTTTGAGATGTTTTTTCAAGATTTTAGTTCAAAATGCAGGTAATCACAGTATTGATCTGAAGAAAAAAAATTATTTTATAATTTATGCATTATAATTTAGTCATAGAGTTGTTAGCGTGACATGAAAAATTTGCAGTTTTTAAGCTTGAACTTGCCTTTATTTTGAATATTATTTTATAAGTTTCTAAAACTTCACTTCAAATATTTAATTTCAAGGCCTCTGATTACTGAAAATAAAATTTAACTTTTTTCAAAAAAACAATTGTGTTAAATCCAGAGGGATACCTTAGCGATCATCATCTAATCTAATATAACTTAAATATTTATAACAATTATACAAGAAATAACTTTTTCAAATGTAATTTAATCTATCGAATAAAAAATAATTACAGATTTTCTATACTATGTCGTTCGTCACTGAAATAAGCTTAGATAATATGAGTATAGTGAACTTTTTACTTTTATTCTGTTTATAGTTTCACATAATAAAAACCTGATAAAGAGATGTGATATTCATGCTAAAAGTAGGAAAGTTGATTTCGAGAGCGATTATATTACTCTTAATTCGGCAATAAATAACCTTCTTAGTGTTTCAGGCTTTGTCTTTATTTTTGCCTAAAAAACTTGCAAAAGCTTCTTTTTGTATTAACTTGTTAAACCTTCCAAAATACTCAGAAATGTTTTACTTTGTACAGCTTCAATATCCGAACATAAAGTGGTTTTAGTCGTAAATTTTTTTTTACCACAAGTGATGTAAAATTAATACAAAAATAAACCAACAAGGTACAAATTTTTGATCTGTAAAAACAAAATTATTAAAATGAAAAACTTTTGAACAAAAATAAATAAAACTTGATATTTATTTAATTAATATCAGTCACCAACTCGCTGAAAAATGTTAAAAATTTTAACATTTTACAAAAAAAAAAAACACTTAATGAAATCATATTAGTGCATTAAAATATAGCAGTTTACTGACATCAGCATTTAATACAAACTTTTAAAATTATCTATTTTCCAAAAAACAATATACTGGTGATTCCCAATGATGATGAACGTTCATGTTTTTTTTTTTCAAAATATAATCAATTTATTATTATTTAATACACAACTATATGATTTATATATATATCAGATAACATCAATCGCTGGATACACTTCCCCATATCTTGAAATTAAAAGGATGTGAATTAAAATTTAACGATCTGCTCTCTTTTAAAAATTTAATAATGCTACGCAAAATTTTTTCTAAAAAATTTAGCCCGTAAAGTAGTTAATTAGTAAGAATTTTTTCATTTTCTGTTCATCCACTTCATTAATTACGTAACCATAACAAAGCAGAACAGAAAACACTCGAATGATGATGTTGATGAACAGAGTTGATAGGTTTCTTTCTGACTAAAATGATAAATTCGTACTGGTAAGATTTTACATGATTGATTTTCACTGCTGTTTTTGATTTGCTCCTGTCCCTAAAACTAATGGCGTGTATTTCAAACAGCAGAAACACAGCATTATTTCAATCACTCTATTCACTTCGATTCTTTTTAAAAGCACCAATGGTAATACAAGAATTAATACAACTAAACTTAATAATGAGTTTTTGCGCGAATTCGTTGATGTTTTGAAATCGAATTTTTTCTCTGTTGGAATTTGTAAACAATTAGTAAAAAGCAATATGTCTAAAACAGAGAATGCTATTACTTTAAAAGGCTCTGCAGATATTGTGACGGAATTTTTTGGTATTTAATTTCTTTAACACTTTCAAGGTCTGTTGTATTGTTACTATACGAAAATGTCCATTGCTCTTCAAAAGAAATATAGATTTTCTGTCTATTTCGTTATTGGATTCTTATGTTATGAATGAAATAAGTAGTATTAAATGTTTTTAGTCTTTTACTGTAAATATAGAATTTTTTTTTTTTTTAAATAATTATTCTAGATATTGTAGCTCAGACTTTTACTTTTAAAAAAAGAAGTCACATTAATACTGTTATTGGCAGAACACAAGTTATTTTAAGTTCACGTGAATGATGAAGTAACTTCCTGTAAGTTTATAGAGGACTTGTCGCTACGTTCTAATTCTTCACTCATTTTGATATGGCGTGAGTGACCAGTTTTACCACATTGCTCTATTTGACCAAACGCATGCCACCTTTTCATAAAAGACAGCTGGCAGAGAAGTTCTTCTCCATAGATTGCAACAAGAATGGGGTTTGCATGAGAACTTTTTAAAAGTATTTTGTGAAACTACCGTTTCTCCTAAAGTTGAATTTGTGAAGATACCGCTGAACGAAAATAAATTTCGCCTGGACAGACCCCTGAATGACTAACTATTATGTAATAAGAGTGAAAGTGTTTTTTTTGTGCACTGTGCATTTAAGGCTAACATATTCGAATTACATATTTTCATACAGGGAATAAACTTTAAGGAATTCTTCAGTGTTTTTTTAGATTTTAAAATTTGCTTCAGGAGAATGCTTCACTAAAACAGAACGCTTTGTTCTTTTGAGTTACATGACAATTTTTAATTATTGTAAACAAAGTGCTGTTTTGGATCTTAAATAGTCTCTTTGTGTTCTTCTGTTTACTTTCTTTAAAAAAAAAATTATTTTCACTCTTAACATATAGCATTACTATTCACTAAATAACATAGGTTCAGAGAACAGGCTAAACTGAAATAAAATAAGAAATTGCAAATAATACTACATGTTTAATTTCAAACAACATTTGAGAAAAAGAGTAAATGTAGTTTTTAAACCAGAAAAATAAGATTGATGAACATGTTTATCGACTTTTGTTATTCATTAACTTGTTGTCAATGGAAAAATGTCTTAAGACCTTTTTAATTTTCCAAAAATTAAAAAAAGAAACAAGATTTCGGTCACTATATTAGAAAGAAAAGTTTAGTTGGATGTTCTTATGGACGTCAAGATAACATTGTGTCTATTAAACTACAAATGAGACTTCATGCAGTGGTCGTTATAATAGAAGAGTTGTTCAAATGCAGAAGGGAGACATACTAAAAAAAGTAAACTGTATCTTAAATTTTTGCTAAGAAACTGAAAAAACTTTTCAACAAGGGTTTTTTTTTTCCTTCAAAATTTTACCTGTCCTATCTATTTTTTTTTTTTCCAATTTTATCAAGGTAGAGACATAGCTTTCTTGGGATTTTTATAAAAGTTTGTTTTCAGTTTCAAAACCTTTTATGCTGGGTTTATAAAAAAAATTCTTCTTTTTTATGTATTCTGTGCACCTGTATTAAAATGTTTGTTAAATATGTTAGGTGCTAACCAAACTTTTTACTCCTTTAGATTTTGGAATTAATAGCATTATTTACCAAAGAGGGATATATCCTGTAGAATCCTTTAACCGTGTTGAAAAGTATGGACTGACAGTTTTAGTAACTAAAGATAATAAACTACAGGCCTTCATTTCTAATATTTTAAAGCAACTAAGAAGTAAGTAATTAGAATTTTAATGTTTCATCTTTGATACATGTAGATATTTTCTAATTTTATAACAAAAGATGTAATTTAAAAGATGTTTGTTATAATGTTCATGAATGTAAAATGAATACCTTAATATATTGAATATTTTAACTTATCTAATTAATTGTGTTTACCTTTAACATGACATACAAACGATTTCAATTGAGTAATACGGAACACAATTAAATCCATATAAAAATATTTCATTGCTAGTCATACAGCTTCTTCAATTTTTTTTTCTTTCATTTTTCTGCACCTAAATACAAAGTAAAGAGTAAAATTTCGAAGAAATAAGTTTTTGACACATGTCTGTGTTTGGCAGTTTTAACCATAGATAAAACCTTTACATATAAAAAAGTTAAAATGTTGCATTTTTATATGCATACAAACAAACAAGTCCATACGCTCCAGAGAAAATCTGGAAAAACGAGATTTTGACACGAGATTGAAAGACACAATTCTCGGAATTGTCAAAGACAAATTTCGCTGAATGTCACAGTTACATTTCACTAAAAACGTAGGAGTTCATTCTCTTATTTGCTTGTACAATATAATATTTAAAAGTAATAAAATTACGTGCCAAAGAAGGGATTTGGTAGATTATTGAGATTCTTTTATGCTTTTGCAATTTTTGTGTAATTTTATTAACTCAAAGCATATCTCTTCACAATATGAGAATAATAATGGATTAAAAACAGTGGTAGAGCACAATGAATTACAGAGGTAATAACCTTCCCTTATTTTAAGTAAAACTTGCAGTTTCTGGCGGCATCAACCACAATGGAGTGGAAAATCACTTGAATTTCAGTTAATTGGAAATACAAACTTAAAGGAGGCTTTTTTTCACTCAAAAAAAAAAAAGAAAGTTTTTTTTTCCTTTTCTGAACTACTGACGCCAATCAATTGCTGCTGCAATTATTGTAAACCCAATGGTGTTAGTGCACTACTCGATTTAAAATCAGTTTTGAGCTTAAACTTGGAGATTGTTCACTAATTAAATTTCTCATCTGGGTTTACTGCCGTGCAGTTGAAAAAACAACTTAAATGCTTCATGATTGATTCTATTGCTAGTGCTATGAACGCTGAAATAGAATTTTAAAAAACTGATAAATCGAAAAGCTCTTTGAAAGAAAAGATGTCAGGGGGTCCTTTATTAATTTGTTTCGTGTCGTAAATGCTTCACAACCATGATTTCTTTGATTTTAAAGTAGACTATGCATTCATTGTAAACTAGACTTCAAGATAAAAATAAAGACTGTAACTGATTTTGACTGACCCAAAATGGATTATAAGACCTGCTATACACCCCTGTTTGGTAGTAAATAAATTAACATCTATTCTTTATAAAAACAAGCGTTTATGAAACAAGTTAATATCTTTTAATAAAAAAAAAATTCTTATTAATTGGAATCAGAAGAATCATTAAAATCCGAAGATAAAATATGTATTCATAATGCATTTTCTTTAAAACAATGTATTGTTTCAATTATTATTATTATTAACTCTATATTTGCTGTAGAGAGCAATTCTATTCAAAAGGCTGATAATTAATTTTGGTTCATTCATCATTAATGTGAGTATTTTAACAAAATAAATTGTCATATTGTGAAGTTTTTTCAGTTCTTTTGCAAAATATTGCTTTTATAATTAGTGCACCTTTATATTAAAAAATTCGACATTTTAAACTCTTTACCTGGTTAAGTTCTATATCTCGTAAAATATAACACTTGATGTGCATTTTTTTTTAATCAAAGATCATTTGTTAATATTTTATAAAAGATTAAGAAAGTTTATGTATATTTTATATCATATATTTTTGCCTATTGCTCCTGATTATTATGTCTCTGACAAAATTTTGAAGTTATGAAATTTTGTGCTATTAATATGGTCGCATATCAAAAATATATTTCTAAATTTAACTGGAACTAGGTATCCCATATTCTAAAAAAAGGGAAATATTGTTGTACAATTGACTAAATTATCTAAATTTGTTACAGGCTGGTTAATGTCCAAGGAAGTTCATAAGCTTGTTGTTGTCATATCTAATTTTTATACGAAAGAAACATTGGAACGATGGGAATTTAAAATTCAGTGCGAAGGAGAATCAAATGAGGGGTATAATATACATATTTCAATTTCTCTTTATCTATTATGTACTTTTTTTCCTCTTTTAATTTTGTTCTTTTGCAAGCAAGGTTCACCAGCTGAAGATTCACCAAAGTTACCCTGAATATTTACCTTTCAAATTTATAACTTTTTTTCTAATTACGAAATGACCTGGAAAAAAATGTGCAAGCAGCTCTTAGGATTGGCTAAGATAATTTAAGTAAGCTATTAAAGTTCAAAAACTGGAGTATTGGAACAAAACTAAAGAGAGAAGCAGAGTGCTTGGAGCTGTGTTTTTGATTCAGTTGGAGCTTGAGCTCTAAGTTTTCCCATGCTTTAGGGCTCCAACACTTTCATTTTATCCTACAAACATTTGAATGTTTGTTGTATGACCTGTTAAATTGTAATAGCATTGCAACAAGTTGCTGTAAAGAAACTATTCTCATTATTTAATTACATTTATAATGATTTAAGATCAAATATGAAGGAGGGTTTATTCAATTCAATTCTACTGCAAATTAAGTTATTTGTATTTTTTGTGTGAACTGATGATTATGTTATTTTTTTTTTTTTTAAAATAATGTTAAATTAAAACCTGAAACTCTAAAGCACACATAAATATTTATCAAAATCACCACAGACCAAGCTTTAGTTTATTATCTGGGAGCCGTGCCGAAACTTAAGCTGCAACACTGGAAAATTCAAAATCAAGATTCCATGCAGGAAAGAGTGGGCAAAGCAATCAAAATTGTTCTAAGTGTGGAACAAGCAATAGCAAGTAAAGGCCAAAGTCCCTTTGAATTATAATAAGGAAGGAAAACATGATTTAATTTTACTATCATAATAATTTAGGGTAACGTACTTATTTAACTATTTTTAGAAAATGGATTTAGTATAAAGATTAGATCTAATGATAAAAGCATTATTTGAATATCTTAAAAGTTTAAAACAATTTTCTACATTGTTTTTGTTCTTTTTAAAAGAAAGCTCAAAAGGATAAGGGGTTGCCCAGATATTTCATTCTATACTATAAAACAAGGTTTATCAAAAATTACACCTGTATTGCGGGAGATCACTTGCCATAAAGTATGTTTTATTTTATTTTTTTGCATTCATCCTAATTTCTTTGCTTTCTTTTGAAAAGTATAAAAAATACTTGATACCTTTTTAATTTTTAAGGTATTCAAATGAAATTTTTTTATTAGTTGCTAAATTTGATTCACTACAAAATTATGGAAAAACTTTTAAAAAATTTTCAGTGCATGCTCAGCGTAGGAAAACTTAAATACTCATAGCTTGAGCAGTATTTAACACATTTTTTAAAATTTTGTTTAATTCCATTGAATATCTCTAAAGTTATAACAAAGAAAAACATATAGCGAAAAGAAATAGTTTTTTATAAAAATGTCCATTTTTTTTCCATAAATATTTATTCTAGGTTTACAAAACTGTATGCAGTTGTTAAAAAAATCAACTGCAGTAATCGATACAAGTTACCAAGTGTATTTCTCAATTTTCCGGCTCAGGGTGTTAAAAAAAAAACTTCTTTACTTTCATAATTTATTGTATGTCTCTCAAACCTGTGAAAACTTTAAATTTTATTCCTAAGTATAAAAAATTGCAAGAACTAAACATCTCTAAAGTTACAAAATATTCCTTTAAGTATTTCTTGAGAAATTTTAAAAAATGTCAAAAACTGAAAGTGTTTCTTTCATTATTGTAGGGTAGTATGTATATTTGTATATATGTTTATGTATATATATGTTTATATCCATGTATATGAGTTTTTTTCATTTTGAAATGAAATTTATTTATTAAAAGTATTAAATTTTCTGCAAATATACTACAAATTTTTTTAAGAAAAAAAAATTAATTTTGTGCCTACAACTAATGTTTATAAATAAAAAATTTATATTTGATGATTGCCACCAATATGACTAAATATGCACACGACCCTTCGTTAGTCTACTCAAAATGAAACCTGTTATTTTATGCGGATAACCACATAATTAATACTTTTAACCCAAATGTGCATTTAGACATTTCTGCTAAAATTGAATTCTCATTGCAAGGTTTCCAGCTTAACTAACTACGGTCAATTTCACTTAGTTTTTGTATAGTTTAAAAAATTCTTTAAAATTTGGATGGATGAAAAAAAAGCTTTGTCGGTATATATTTTAACTCAATTTATTATTTGCTTGAAATTGAAATTAAACAATGAAGATAGTCTCACATAATATAGAATAGGGGACTTAATTACTTGCATAATTTATTTATATATTGTTATATATTATTATTGCTTTTGAAGAATTTTATATTATTTCACTTCCTAAATCAAAAGAAACAAGCTTTCAATTTGTAGTTGTTGCCTTAATAAATTTGTACACATTTTAATTTAAATGCATTTTTTTAGATTAGATTCAATATTTTATTAATCTTGATTTATTTTATTTTAGAGGCAAATCAAAGTCTAAGGATTTAAAAGAAATACAGAAAGAGATCAGAAATATTATTCGTCAAATAACAGCCAGTGTATCTTTTCTTCCTTTGCTTGATAATGCATGTAAGCATTTCTCGTTTTGCTTTTACATTTGCGTGTTTCACTTGCCATATCAATTAACTCCCCTTTTTCATTTATTTCTTTATCTTGTAATTTTAAGATTAAAAACATTTATTGATTTGCAACTATACATATTCAAAACAAGTTTCTCTAATAATTGTTCAACGCCATTAAACATTCTTTTTATTGCTATTGAATTATAAATAATTTATCTCAAGAATATTTTTTCAGATTATTACTTATATTTGTTTTATAATGTTAATCGATTTGGCAAATGAGTCATTCATTTTCTAAAGATGAAAAAGTTGTTGTATCTAAGTTTAGTTTATTTTGTATATAAAATTCTAAATATAAGCATCATTGGCATCTATAACAGTGCAATAATTTTTTTACGGTTCTTGTTAACCTTTTCTCTATTAATTTATCCAGGGTTCCCGCGGCCTTGAAAAAGCCTTGAAAAGTACTTGAATTTCATTTGGATTTTCAAGGGCCCCTAGAAGTACTTGAAAATGATATTAAATCCTTGAAAATTTCGAAATAACCTTGAAAAATATCGAAAACTCAGGAAAATAGCCCTATTTCCAGTATTTCTATGTTTAACTTTTTGACGCGCGTAAGTGTGAGAGAATGACTTCCCCGTCTTTCAGATGATGACACGTACTGTTTGATTTTAGGATTTTATGTATGTTTGGCTNTTAGCTATGATGAACTCCAAACTTTTATTAACACCTGTGATGCATAACTAAATGTGGCATTAAATTCTACCAGTAATTCTGTTATATTTGCTATCATAATAAGAACATATTATACCAATATTGTGTTAACTATAGGTACTATGGTAATAAGCTTTTAACAGCCCTCCAAAACGAATAAGTATCCTAATATCCAAAATATATGGAGAAAAAAAAATTTATATTCTACAGTGGCTTTATCCAGTGTTTTCACTACAGTGCGAGAAATTCGCGCATTCCATGAATCAATTTCAAAATTCCCGAATTTCTCGCATTTTGGAAGAAGCTTCGAATTACGCCATTTAGAATAAAATCCGTTTCACTTTTCTTCCTGGATCTTTCATTATTTTCAACAATTGCCCCGTTATCTAGCTTCTCTATTTACCAGTATTGTTCAGAACCTTTTCGAACAACAGAACACAACCCCTCCGAACCACGGAACCCCTTTCAGAACGCATTTCTCTGCAACCATGTGTTTACCATAGGTAAGGTTTTTTTCATGTAAGACGTTCAAATTTTTTATGCAATAATATAAGATGGACAAATACCTAGTAAAAGCAAAATCTTCTATGATAATGCCGCAAAAATATTCAATGCTTTAAAAAATAGAAGACGTTAAAAATTTATTATAATAAAAGAAATGGGTTGGTTTTTTTTCAAGTCTATTTGTCTTTTTTTAGTTTTTAGAAATCTCACTTAACCTTCTGAAATCTCACCCTGTTTTTGAGAAAGGGTGAGAAATTCTCGCCTATTTTTTTTCTATGATAAAAACACTGCTTTGTCCCAGATTTACCATAGTAAAAGTTAGAAATTCTACCCCTAAAAAGAAAGATTAACTTCACATATATATTATCATTTAACATACGCTATTCAGAATTAACCACAATTGTCCCATGACTTACTTGATAGCTTCAATTTAATTTTATTAGTTCTTAATAAGTATTTATTGAAGTTTATAGAAGCATGTTTTAAAAGTATCTATATTGAAAGGGTTCAATAGGTAAGGTTCAAAAGGTATATCTTTTAAAATATTAGTTTGGAAGTCATCACCATTCTTTGCAAAATGGTCGACATTGATTTTACCTGTGATAACCAAATGAAAGAAACCAAAAATAAATATTTCATTGAAAAAAACTGCAATAAAATTTATTTTTGATTGTTTTGAGTAGCAAGCTCATATTATCAAATCGTAAGGTAAAATCTTATTTTGAGATGTAGTATCTGAACGAGTTGCCAGAGGAAGTTTTAAAGTAGACAGTTAGGTCCACCATTGTCTTTGGGTGTAAGTACGCCACATTGGGCAGATCGGTTCAGAGTTGTGGATTTCAGTACAGTACCTACAAACATACATTGTAGTCCTGTCGGTTGGTCAGAGTGCTTGAGGCTGAAGTGGCCCTTTACTCTTTCATGAATTGAAGGATTGTTGTGGTGGTTCCTTACTGTCCTTGTTGCCTAAAAATAAAAGTAGAGAAATAATTATGAGAAAATTGCGTAAGTAATATTAAATAATGATGCCCCTTTTACATATACAATTAAATAAATAATGTAGAAAAAGAATAATAAAAGTATACTTCTAGTAAGAAGTTTGTCAAACTCAATTGTACATCTCTTAATTATAATACACTTTCTTATTACATTCTCTACAACATTATCTTCACTAATCACTTTTATCGTAAAGCATAGTCAATTTTCATGAAATCTAGTACAATTCAAATAAAGTTTATTTGTGTTAACGCATTTTATATACAATTACACGTCTATATCAGTGTTATTCTATACGAATATTGTCCATTTTTGTAATATTTTATATAAATAAGTGGCATATGAATATATTGCCATAATATAAAATTCACTATTTACACTCCATTGAGTTTGACTCAAATGGTCAGTGTTGCAACACTTGTAAAAAAAAATGTGCAACTGGTCTCAGAGAGGCATCTTCAAATAGGTTTTCATACTCGAAAATTGACATGCATATAAACATTCAACTTTATTTATACTGATATGTAAACCTAATTGCCCTTTTTTAATGTAAAAAAGTCTTTATTGTCAAAAAATCTATTCAAGTTATGCTTTTAACAAACTAAGTTTTATGTAGAATTTTTATCACTCAACAAGTTTTTTTTTTTTTTTTTTTTTAATTTCTCGGTTATAACCGAAATCACCTTTAATAAGATAGTACAAAATTATATTTTTATTAGTGTACCTATTGAAAGCTATAAGTTCTATTAGTACTATAAGTTCTATTAGCTATAAGTTCTATTAGTGTACCTATTGAAGTTTCTTTTTTTATCATAATTATGTTTAAAATATCCAAGTAACTATTGTTTTCTTAAATACAAATTTTTATGCAAAGGTATTGATGTTTAGTGTAATTTACTTTTTCCTCTCCTTAAAAAGGTGCATGAATATGAAGTATTTACACTTTTATGAGTATCTGTGTGAAATTGCTACATCTAAACATTCTACTCTTAGATGAATTGTTTTTTGAAAAAATGAAAACCTATTAAAACTGTAAATTAATGTTTAAGACCTGTCCTTTGCATGAGATATATCATATTAAATGATATGTTTAATATACAAAGCTTTTTTATTTGTATTTTGTCAGATTTCTGCAATTTAGTGGTTTATGCTGCGTATGATTTTTACCTTTTGTGACATTGCAACAGTAAAATTTTAACCTACCTTATAGTCAGAATATAAATATTTTTCCCAATCTGGTTCGACAACAATAAAAGAAAGTTTTCTACTTTTGCTGAATGTAGACTACAGATCAGATTTTAGAGGCTTATTCTCAAAAACTTTCAATATAGTCTGAGGTTGATGAGGTTTTTTTTATTTTTAACCTAAGTAAATTTTTTGTATCATGCTTTTTAACACAAAATAATCGTTGAATATTGTCTTCAACAAAATCATTTATAATTTTATTTGATAACATTGTATTTGGTTTGCTTTTCTAATAAAATTATGCTAAACTATTCTTTGATATTTATAAATTTTACCAATGTCAGATCTTTGTTTGTGGCTCTCTATTTCAGTGCCTGATTTATCATAAAGTCTGTGAGGCCAGACTCCCTAAATGTTTAAAACAATTTCTTTTTCTTATCTCATCAAAATTTGAGTTAGCAACAAATTGTAATAAATCTAAGCTCAAATTTACTGATATATTATAATTTACTCTTGTTATAAGCAATTTAAAAGCACTTCATAAAGTAAATTTGGCACATCAAGTAAATTTGGTTTAAAGATACGACCAGGGGCGCCTGACAGTTTCGTGCCTAGGGCTGTCACACTTCCGGATCTGCTTTTCTTTACATCATACTTAGTTTTTTTGTTGGTTATTCCATAAGCAAATTCTGTATTTATTTATGTCACGAAAGATACTTTTGAAGTCACTTATAATGAGAGCAATGGGAATTGGCTTTCTAAATCTAGGATCCCATGAAAGCCAAGTCAGCTAACATTATCAAAAAAAAGGAACTAAACTAATAAAAAAAATGAACTAGAAAATGTACGTTTGGAAAGAGTCCTAATGTACATTTTCTAATCCACCTTCAAAACTTCCAAACCCACATTCATAGACCCTGAGTTTGCAACGAAAATTGCCAACTTTTCTGGTTCTTTGTGCAACTTGTGAAATATTTTGTGCCAGACTTGTTGTAGATCAGGGCTTTCCAACTTACATGAGGCCGGGGGCCGCAATTAAGAACACCAGTCAAATGGCAGGCCGCAACTTTATCAAAATTTTATCTAGGACTCTTATGTTTGAAAGAACATTAAATATTACTGTCAGATTTTTGTCAAGTTGTACAAAACAAACGTATTGAATTACAAATTAAAATTAGAAGTAGATTTTTAAGCAATATACATGATTATTTTTGTATTTAAAAACATTTTTTTGCTCTGTTGGTATGTTGAATTTCACAGAAACTAATAAATTAGGTTCTTTTAACGAAAGAAGAGTATTTTAAACCCATATATATTTTTTAAGAAAATTTTCCTCACAAAATGACAATTAATATATTTCAGTTTGTGGGCCGCTAGTTGGTAACCAGTGTTGTAGATCAAACAGTTATTAAGATTTAAGAAAGAAAAATAAATATTTCTATCAGTGTAAAAGAAAAATTACAAAAATAAAGTTTTAATTTCATGCTGATTGCATTAGCAGCTTAATTTTTTTTATTCAGTATGTGTATTTAAACAATGGCAATTGCTCCACCTACAACAAGTATATCAATGCCTTTTCTTACTTATATTGAAACCAGAAAAATTTAAAATTTCTTGGAAAAACCACTTATTTTTAGTTTGGGTGGTGGTAATTTTTTATCCTATTACTGTTAGTTTCTATGTTTTACAAGCATTTGTTCAGGCGCATGCGATGTAGTAGTTATAGAATCTATTCAATAGTTTGCATTGTAACATCTTCTGTAAATAATTACACTTATGATAACTGATGATTTTTGTCTGCCTGCTGTAGAAAAATGAAATCACATTACAATTATAGGCTTGAGTATACTTGATTTTTAAAGAGTTTAAACATGCTATTTTATGATTATTGTACATTTATATGAATATTTAGTTTTTCTCATTCAGTAGGGATAATTAAAACCATTTTAAAATTATAAATCCTAGAAAAAAATAGCATAAATTTTACTACCTCGTTAAAAAAAACATTTAACGCTAAATATGAAAAAGTTGACAGTTATGTGTAAGGAACTTTTTTTTCTCCCTTGATTTTTCAACAGATTAAACTAAAGGAGTATTAATAAAACCCTCCAAAGGAAATTAAATTGTGCCTAATACTATTTTTTTTCTTGCAGCTGTAATAAAATGATTTTAAAGGTGTTTTGGAATAATTCCTTGTTTATATTCAATTTATGCTTGTAATAACAATGCTTATTTTATAAACATTTTAACATTAAATTCACTTATTAAATTTTTATTGGTTTGATAAGTAATGAATGTTTTTTTTATATAGGCTCATTTGACGTTTTACTATACACAAGTAAAGATATTGAGGTTCCTGATGAATGGGCAGACAGTACAGCTCATCTGATACCGGATTGTGAAGAAGTTAGGTTGAGCAATTTTTCCACTTCTGTTCACAAAGTAGATACAGCAGTTCAATACAAAACCTGTGAATAAAATGAATATATTTTGTTCAAATGATTTTGAAATATTTTACATAAACTTTTTCCATGCTCCATCCATGATGCTTTTTTTTGTAATATTCGTATATTTTTTTTTTGTATATTTATACTTTTTTAAGTTGTGCTGTAAATAAAGAATAATCTTTTTATGAAAATGTCTTAATTTATTTAAATTATTATTTAACGTAAATTTGTTTGTCTTTTAAAAAATTATTGTAAGATTTATTTAATAGATTACTTGTATTTCTTATCTCTGTTCTATGAAGGAAAGCTATTAAACTGCATAAACCATTTGTGCCTTAAATTCGTTTTTAGAAATAATTCTAAGATTACATCAAATATATCTTTATTTAACTTAAATGAATATTTTTCATAATTTTTAATAACGCTCATGAATTTAATTAAATAAAGCAGGTCAATCTTTCTCGAATCCGCTTTCTTTCAAGGCTGCAAAAAAAAACAACTTAGAAAATCCAAGAATATACGACCTACCCTTGTAAATTTCTATAATTATCAAGTTTCTTTTAAATTTATTTTGATCTATTTTTATATTAAAGAATCAATTTCCAAAGTCTGGAAAATTCAAGTTCCGAGATTTTTTACCGTCATAGTCACCAAGAGATAAAGCCGTTGAGATCAGCACAGTGTTTTAGTGACGTCTCTCAGAGTTGTTCTGATTTGCCGCCAATTTCAAATGTTATTTATATAAACAAAAGCTTTCTTTGACCGTTGGTTAAGCTATTCTTTCTATGGTATTGTTTTATGGTTCTTAATGCCTGTGCAGTTCCGAAATTTAAATGTAATTATAAAAATGTTAGCTTAAAAATTTTCTAAGTGTAAAGAACTGAAAGAGTGGATTTATTTAAACGCGAATTAACAGCTAAGTAAGTGTTATTTATCTTTCATTTTTTAGTAATTATTGATTTTTTTCTGACTTTAATATAAGCTTCTAATTTACATAAGGAAAGAAATCGTATTTAAGAATATCAATGTTTCAGGTATTGTTTGTTAGTGAATATTATAAAATAAAATTGGCAAAACCATCTTACTTTCTCAAAACTTAAGATCGTGAAATAAAACATTTAAAGATCATTTGTTTTGTAAAAATTTAGATGAATTCAGAACAAATATAAGTTGTAATTAAATAGCTGAAATTTGTATTTTTAAGACAAAGTAAACAACATAATTTTATTTCTGAAAGAAATAAAAATTGGATGACTGTTGATTGGCACTTAAAGCTTATTTATTCTCAAAGATAGCCTTTTTTATATGATTTAAATTTTATAAATATTTTTACTTGTATGCAGGCGAATTCCGTGTTAATTAATAATAAAAAAAACAGGAATTTAAGTCATGGTTAGTCATTTCTATTTCCTTGGGAGTGATATTTTTAAATAAATTTTGATGAAACTGTTGCTCATTCTTTATAAGGCATGATTTTTTCTCACACAGATAAATTGCCTTTGTGTATCTTATGAGGAAGTTCTAAATAATTTTTTACTTCATTGAAATTAATTTCTAGATTTTGTAATTTTAAGATGTCACATTTACCAAAATATAAACTAAAGAATCAAACTATTTCTTACATTAAAGTTTAAAATAAGTCAAACACACTGGGAAAAAAATTCCTCTCCGTCTAGATTATTTATTTAATTTTGTGGGTTGTTGGGCAAAAAGACAGTTGTTCTTTTTTGGTATTTACATGTGATTTAAATCCCTAAGGTTTTTTTTTTCCCTTGAAAGTGATTTTTTCTTACAATCAATTAATATACTTCATGAAATTGTGCTTTGAATAAGCATTTTATAAAATTTAAATAAATTTTTACAGCATGTTGTATTTAGCGTTTGATATTAATTTATTTTTTCTTTCTGTTTTACTAGTAACTAAATATAAAAATGTTTAATTGATATATAATTAAACGAATAACCAGATTTATAACCGTAACCATTATGCTAAAAATATGATTTATTTTTATTGAAAAATACCGAAAGTTACAGCTTTGAAGATTTAAAAATTTTGAAATTTTATACATTTTTCTTTATATTAAAAAAATCAAAGTCATTTTATTTAAGTGTGCGTGTAGTGCATCTAAAAGAATGTTTGTTTTACTTATATTGAGAACAAAAAAATAATTGTTTTGAGGGTATTTTGACCCCTTAATCTTTGATGAGTTAAAATCAAATTTGCATATTTAGATTTGGATAAGTTATAATAATAAATTTAAATTTGAATAAGTTTAAGTAAGATTTTATTTGAAAGTATATGTATATGTACTTTTCTTATATGTATGTACAGTGTATTCCATAAATTACTCCCATAATTAAAAAAAAATTTAACTTTATCAAAAATAGGAATAAAAAGTGTACTATTAGAGGTCACAAATTGATATTTTTGCAAATAAAAGCTAAAACTATCGAAATCTGTCAAATTGCGGTTTCGGAAGGCAATTGAGCAATACACCAAAACATGTTTGATTGCAGTAGGAGATAGATGCGATGAAAGACGTTTATTAAAAAACACCCCCTGAAATTCAAACGGGTTTCGGTGTTATGTACACTCTTTTTTTTTATATAATGTAATTTGAAAATTTTCTGGAAAAAACTTTTCTTTTTGTCGAAATCTGAGAAAAAAAAGATTGTTATCAAAAAATTTATAGGTTAGTACATACATAATATTCGAAAACATTTTACTTTTTATTACAATATTTTCAAAAAAGCTTCATTTATTATAAATATTCATTTATTATATTTATTAAAAAGCTTCATTATATAATGAATATTATTTTAAAGTTTTACAATCTTAAGATTGTAAAAATAGTTAGCTAAATTATTTTGCCTCGCTTTTATATTATATGCGTTTATTTGTAAATAAATGTGTATGCATTATTTCCATTTAGAAATTAAATGTTTATCATATTAGATCTTATTTTAAAGTAGCAAATTTATGAAATTGCAATTAAAATTATAATTTTTTTTTCATTTTTTTCTTACATAATATGCCATATTTTTCTTATTCTCGTAATTGTTTCCTTACTCAAATCTATCATTTCTTATTTTCTAACATATGAATAAATCTAATATTTCATTATACATTAGAAAATTATAATTGATACATTTGAAGAGGTTCATTCATTTGATATTAAATATGTTAATGATAAATCATTGTTTAAAATTGGAAGAATAACTTTTCTTATTAAATCATTTTCTGCTATGAAATTCAAATAACATTGTTTCATAAAAACATCAAATAATTCACATGTTCATTTTATTGAATTATAACATGATAAATAAAATATACTTTCCCTAATAAAAATTCACCTCTTAAAATCCAGTAAAATATATTTACACTTAAAACTATTTTTAAACTGGTTTCATTACCTTTAGTCAGTCTGATTTTAGGCTAGGGACACAAATTATTAGTCTTGTGTTAAGTTTCGAAAGTAGAAACTGTCCTCTTTAAGGATGCTCATTCCTACCGAAGGCTAATGGAGCCAATCCCCATCAGATAAATAGATTTTAATCTCCCTTTCAAAAAACAACAAAACTGCAATTAAATATAATTTTTTAAAAATTTCAGTTAGAGTAAAATTGTCTAAATCATATCACTTTTCATATTTAAATTTCTATCAGTCACAAATCATTGAAAATCACTTATGAAATATTTTAGTAATAAAATATTGACAATCAGCTTTAAATATATGTATATATATATTTGGTAATTATATTTGCTCAGTTAGTACTGAAAATTTTCACAAGCTCTGAAAAAGATACGATATAGGTAAGCGGTTGCCTAAATCGTCCCATTATCAAAATTTTTGAGTATTTATGATAAAGCGAATAAACAGACTACGTAATCCAAAACAATTGTTTAATATCATAATAAGAAATGTATCATAAAATTTTTTTAAACTACTGCAAGTATAGTTACAGTATCTTAAGCCTATATAAAATTTTAAGGCCGTTTTTCGAAGGAATACTTTTTGCGAATAATATGCTATTTTCATAACTGCTGTGAGTTTGTAACAGTTACTCATGACTGTTAGATCAAGTTTAGTCTATGTTTAGTTTAGTTATCTAAAGCAAGCTCTGTCTATGCTTATTTTGAAAATGATGCAAAACGTCATTATGGAGAACACAATTTTATAAAAAAAAAAATAATAACGTTTGTGGTTTATTTATTTATTTATATTTTTTAATATTTAAAAACTTACTCCAATGCTGCACTATCTGGGTCCAATAAAATTTGCAAAAACTGAGAATAAGACTGTGATTTTGATAATTTTCATCTCAGTGGGAAAAAGTCGCAAAATTGGCGATTTTTAAAAATGTTTAATTATTTTTAAAATATTTAAGTTACTTGCCCATTTAAAAGCCCAGATGATTCTTCACAGCAAGATGATATACATAGTTTATAATCATATTTTCGTTTCAAGTCTAAGGCACTTTAACCCGTTTTGTCCCAAAGTTATATATTGAAATCATACAAAAGTGGTTTTATGGAAAAGTGGTATAATATATTTTCGAAATTAATTGTTTTTTCTACTGTTAGAACATTCAAAAAGTCTTTGACAGATCAAAAAGTACTTGCTCCTTATAATTCTAGATCTAATCAGAAATAACTAAATTATTGTGGTATCTGAGAAACTTTTAATTCACCCAGATAAATGAAAATGCTTAAAAAAGTTTCCCACCACAATGAATGTTTTTGGAAAAAGGAACTGTCCTAAATATATGACGCTGGGCGTTAACCGGTTAACTGTGGCTTTTTTTTCCTTTCTTTTTTTTCCTTGGCGACAGAGCTTCGGAAAACCATACCATCTAGTTATATGGATATACAGAGCCGGATAATACCTTTCGTAGGCCCTATAGGCATAGCCGTTTTTGGGCCCTCTCCTCCTTCCCCTCTTTTCAAAATATATGCTAAAATTTTCTTGCATATTTTTTTTTACATTTTTATTAATATGGATTTTAGTTTACGAATTTGTTCATCGAACTTTATCTGCAATACAGACATACTGCCGATATTGCAGTTGATATCGATAATACCATTATGATTAGTTCGATCGATAATTATGTAAACACTTCACGTCAAAAATACAACAACAAACCAGCAAAGAAAACAGTGAAATTGATAGTGAGATTAATTA